TACCAGGGAAGGTCTATCTTTAGGGCGACACATCTTCGTAGCCAAATGAGATGGTAATTAGTAGAGAGGGTCATTGGTTATAGTGACGCAGTCTTATTTTAATCTGGTCCCCCAGCAGACAACCAGAACCAGGACTGAGTGCGGGCAGTTCTTATGCACCATGGAGGACAGGACCTAGGGGAGAGGGGATGTGAGACAGGCCTTCCTTGGTGCCACAGAAGAAGGTACAAGGGAATGTGGATTTACTGAATGAGACTCCAACCCACTCCAGATTTACATCTGCAAAGGAAAGCCACTTCAGACACCTGTTCTAGCTCTTCATTTATAAATGAATAGTCAAGCCAAGATCATCAGTCTTTGTAGAATTGGCATAAAAGACTCAAGATGAATAGGGAAACAAAAGACCCTGGAGATAGAAAACATGGTAAGGACTATTTATTACTTTGCCTGTGAGATCCAAGAAGATACTGCCTCCATCAATAGCTGCCAAGTGACAAAGTGATGCCAAGTTCCTCTCCAAGTATTATTACAGAGAATAACTTTAGGGTTCAGAGGCCACTCCAAAAATAGCCATTCTATTCACCAAGGATGAAGCTTGGGAGGACTTTGCTACCACTACATGAAGAATCAGCCTAAGGAACAAGGAATGCAAGGGTGAGTGGAGGGCTATATTGTGGCAAGAGAAATGACTTCTGCTCCCAGCGTACCCATCTGGCAGCAGATGTGAAAACACTGCCTTATTCTGCTATAGGGATCTCTTTCCCCCCGTAACCTCCTCTACCCTTAAAATCCTGTTCCTTTTATTTTCTGGTATGTTGGCCTCAGGGTTCATCCTCTACTTGATGATTTTTATAAATACAACTCTGTAACAATTCTGGGGAAACTGCTAAGACAAGCATGTTGGGGATGGTAAACCCTGGAGGATCAGATTTGAGGTGTTGGTGGAAGAGAGGAGAGGAGGCATAAGCCCAGATAATGAAGTGGAAGAGCTTTTCAGTGAGCAGAGACATCTGGAATAGAAATCTATTATTTGGAAATTAGATTGGGGTTGCTTGGGACTGCATCTACAACTATAGTGGTTTGATCAGATAGGAGTTTGATTTTATAACATTAAAAGAAGTCTGTGGGTAGCTGGGGCAGCTACTCAAGGAAGTCATCAAGACTCAGCCTCCCTGTGGTTTCCTTCTCTGCCACATGTGCTTTGCTTATGGCATTTTCCCTCATGGTCCAAAAGGGGTGGCTGTGACCTCTCAAAGCAGCATATCTGTGTACTACACAAGGAGAAAAGAGTAAGGCAAATGGTGGATTACTACTGGGTGTACCTCACTCCTTGCTTTTAAATCAGGAAAGTAGCTTTTCTGGAAGACCTACCAATGGGAATTCTGCTATCCTCCAATAGTCAGAGCCACGTCATTTTTCCAGAGATCCTGGGAGATAAGTAATATTAATTGCATATATGGCCAACCTGGAAACATTCAGGGTTCTGTTAGTAAAGAGGGATAGAAATTGGGGAAGACACACCGCAGGTGAAGTCATATGCATGTCTAGGATCTCACTGGGGGACATGGAGTAGAGAAGAGGAATCCAAAATTGTGCCCTGGAAATCACTTACATTCAGGGAATAGGGAGAGTCAGAAAAGGATCAAGAAAGGGACAGGAGGGGCTGGGGTTGTAATTCAGTGGTAGAGAGGTTGCCTCGCATGTGTGAGGCACTGGGTTCAATCCTCAGCACCACATAAAAATAAATAAATAATAAATAAAGGTATTGTGTTCATCTACAATTAAATGTATATATTTTTTAAAAAGGAATAGGAAGAAAGAGAAGGAGTTGGAGGGAATTTTCAAATTAAAAAAAAAATAAGATTTAGTAAGATTTCAAAAGCATTGTTGCAGAGGCAGGAAAAGGTCTACTGGAATAGGAGGATCTTATGACCCTAAGATCCAGTCTCAAGAACAGTCTTTCTTTCATAGGCGAGTAAAGAAGGCTAGAAAACACAATTGGGGCAGTGGGAGGGAAAGATGAGATTGGACAACAATCACAACTCAGGAGGGGTAAACTTCCCTGTTCTGCATCCCTCTGTCCAATCAGTGCAGGGGGTGGTGCTAAGGAGGAAGAGAAGCTAGTACTTGGGTTAAACTCCAGCTCTACTGTTTTATCCAGTGGATGCATACATTGAATCCTACAATTGCACACTATTATATTTTCGTAGCTTTATACCATCATAGGAAATCCAGTATTGATTTTAGATCTACCTACCCTTTACCTCCAGGATCCCCAAACAAGCATTCCCAGGAGAGCTCCACCTTCTCTCTCGCTACAAAAGTTCTCTGCTTCAGTCACCTGGTGAGCATTGATCTGAGAGACAGCAAGCACCAGGGGAGTGGAACAGAGAGCCTGGGAATCCATCCACCTCTGTATGGGAGCTTGGCATGTGTATGGAGAGTTCTGCAGACCAGTGGGAAGGGACACAGTGCTGGACAATTGGACACAGATTCAAAAACACACACATACACACACACACACACACACACACACACACACCAAATTATCTCCCTGCTAAATACAACCATAAACATACATTTAAGGTGAATTGTATTATGAAAATATGAGTGTAAGCTTTTAGAAAATCTTTAGGGTAGAGAAGGATCTCTTAAAGCAGATTCAAAGGCATAAGTCACAAAGGCAAAAACCTGGTACACTGAATAACAATACATTAAAAAAAATTTTTTAGTTATTGATAGAACTTTATTTATTACGTGGTGCTGAGAATTGAACCCAGTGCCTCACACATGCTAGGCAAGTGCTCTACCACTGAGCCACAACCCCAGCCCTGAACAACAATACATTTTAAAATCACTTTGGTACAGCAAAGGACTCCTGAAGGAGGGTAGAGGAAGGGTAGCCACAGTCTTAAGATATTTGCAATCATATATATATAATCAGGTTTCAAGATGGAAACACTTCTGAGAAATGTGCAGTCAGATTTTGTTGTTGTGCAAACATCATAGAGTGTACTTACATAAACTCAGACACTATGATGTACACAGTGATATAATCATAGGGGACCATCACCATATACACAGTCCATTGTTGACTGAAATGTCACCATGCAGAACATGACTATAATTAACCAAAGATTAGCATCTCTTCACAATATGTATTTTAAGAGATATAAATATCAGTAAGACAACCAACCAAATGAAAAATGGGCAAAGAATATGAATACACAAACAATAGACAAGGAAACCTATTTAACCAACACACAAATGAAAAGGTGCTTAACGTCACTGCAAACTAAATCCTAGAGATGACGTTCAGGCAATCGGCCAAAATGAAAGATCTGATAATAACAAGTATTGACAGAACTGGGGGGAAAAGGGATTCTCAATTGCTGATGGGAATGTAAACAGACACAAGTGCATAAGAACAACTGAAATATCCAGGCAACCAGGGGACTTCAGTACTCCTACAAATTCACAAAATGTGATGGGTTGCTCACTGTAGTAAAATTATAATACTGCAATAATCCTCAATACCCATCAATAGCATCATGGATAAACAGTGGGGTATCACACAATGATACAGCTATACAAAAGTTAAACTATCTGAACCAGAAATACATTTATACAGAATACCTAAAAAAAATGGTCAGGGCTAGGGATGTGGTTCAGTGGTAGATTGTTTGGCTAGTATGGGTATTTTAGTCAGCTTTTTTGCTGCTCTGACCAGAAGACCTGACAAGAACAATTAGAGAAGGAAAAGTTTATTTTGGGGCTCACAGTTTCAGAGGTCTCAGTCCACAGAAGGCTCGTTCCATTCTTTGGGGCTCGAGGTGAGGCAGAACATCATGGCAGAAGGGTGTGGTAGAGGAGAGAGGCTCAGGACATGACTTCAGGAAGCAGAGACAAACTCCACTGGCCAGGAATAAAATATATACCCTAAAGACAAAATCCCAATGACCCACCTCCTCCAGTCACACCCTACCTGCCTATAGTCACCAGTTAATCCCTATCTGGGGATTAACACATGGATTGGGTTAAGGCTCCCATAACCCAATCATTTCACCTCTAAACCTTCTTGCACAGTCTCATACATGAGCTTTTGGGAGACACCTCACATCCAAACCATAATGGGCAAGGCCAATTTCCATCCCTAGTACTAGAGGAAAAAAAAACAAACAGAAAACCAAAGCAAAAAACCTCTAGAGTAAAGTTAAATATGCTAATATACAAAACCATAGATGGGGAGGACACAAATGGACCTCAGAACATGGACTGAGGCAACAGGATTGGGGTGTCATACAAACAGGACTTCAGAACTCCAAAGCTTTATTTCTAAAAACAAATCTGAAGCGAAAATGATAAAATATTAAATTATTTGTTGGTTACGTGAAGATTTGTATACCAGCTGTGTTCTTTTCAGCTTCAATTCTTTTTATCTTCTCTCCAATGGTTTTTCCCACATGCATTTATTTTCCCAGTCTTAACATTTAATCTTAACCCGTAATCCCAGGCCCTTCGGTGATGGTGCTCATCTCCCTCCTTTGCTGTCAATCCACTTTCCTACAGGCCCTCCACGTCTGCTTTTACTCTGAATGTCGCCTCCGCACAGCAACTACTAGCCAGGGCTTTCACATAGGCCTCTTCCAGCTGTTCAAATCAAAACATTTATTCAGCCTCATCTCTGAAAACCCCACCCAGGAACTACTCTTTTGAAGATAAACATTGCCATAACTGACAAAATGTAATGGGTTTTTCAGAATTCTTCTTCCCCACTAACTTCTTGGGAGCTTCCCAGGCCCATCCTTGCCCTCTTAAGTTGCTTCTTGCTTCTAGCTTTTGCAAAAGATGCCATTATTCTGGTCCCTGCAGCTGCCAGCATGGAACATGGCCCTACCACCAACAGCATTTGGCTCCTCAATTCCCTTCATGTCACTGTGGTTTCCTCTGCTCCTCCTCAAACAGCCCAGGGGAAAGAAAGCTCCTGTCAAACACTGAGATACATGATTCTTTTATTCCTCTCAAAATACACAGCCAGTTTTGCAGCATTCATGTTATTTCTGGAACAAGGACACGGCGCTACCAGTATGAACTCCAAATGCACACCTGTGTTTTCTCAGCAGCCCTAGAAAGACAGCAGCCTGCTCTGCATGGCTCCAACAAGCTCAGGTTCCCATCCTGAGGCATTTCTGAGGCTCTTTGTAACTTGTGACTGATGCAGAGGAAAGGGCACAGCCAACCTGACACTCTCTCACCACTGTGGATCTCAACATGGGCTCTGGTCTGCCCTGATGCAGAGCAAAGGACTTTTCGACACCAGTATGCTGGTTCCTGCTGAGGACGGATATTTGCTAAAGAAACCACTCAGCATTTTGGCAACTGCCTTGGAGTGTATGTGAGGTCTTCCTCATGCTCTCACAATTCCTCTGCCTAGAAAGCTTTCTAGGTAGAGAAATGAGTGTAGAGAAAGGAGGCAGTTAAGCTTTTCCCCTTAACAGGGTAGATCCTTCCTTTCTGGGCCCCTAGCACATTGCCCCAGGAGTGGGTGACAGAGAGAGGGAGGGGCTGACACTTAAAAACAGACCAAACCCCAACATTCCAACAGGAGACATCTATTTATTGATATTAATATTAAGCCACTTCCCAGCAGTAACTGCCCTAACAAGAACAGGACTCGGTTTCTAAAAATAATAAAATAATATCACAAAGCACTGGGAAATTCCTGACAGGGAACTGGCTTTTCTTCTTGGCTGGAGTGACCAGGTGCTTAGTACTTTTCCTGGGCGTGGACTCCTGACCCCCACCAATGCACACCTTCCCTCCTCTTGACCCCTGGAGGTTGCAAGACCTGGATGGGGAATGGGCGTCCTTCTCCAGGCCTGGTTCCACTCCATGTGATCCCCTCAGTTCATGAGCATAAACTTGTCATGTGTCCCATGGGCGAGTCAGTCTGGTGACAAAACAGCTAGCACCAAAGAGCTGCTTTGCTTCCTTGTCACAAAGTAAACACAATACTTTCTTCTTCTTCTTCTTCTTTTTTTTAAGGAAAGAAAAGTCTTAAAAATATATGGCACTAGAGTGTAAAACTATACAACTGCATCTGGTGAAGTTTTCCTACAGCTTCCAGCCCTGTGGCTGCATGTCCTCCCTGTCAGATGTAGAGCTGGTGGGAGGCCAAGGTGTCCATGAAAGGGCGCACCAGGTTGTCAGTGGAGAAGTAGAAGATGAGCCCAAAGGTGATGGAGATGGGGAGGGCGGGCAGCGCTTTCTTGAACACGGCAAGCAGCAGGAGGGTGAGACATAAACCCTGTAGGACATCAAATGGGCGGAGTAGTGACCCCTCCAGCATGGGCAGGTTAGAGTAGTGCTAGCCTAGTCCTGGGTTCAGATGTTTGAAGACTAGTGAGGCAACAGTGCTGGACACACCACTGTCTTCCCTGACGGTGCAATAGTTCTGCCAGGTGCAGAGGGCCAGGGTTCTCACTCCAGACAGGACACACTGCCTGTATTGTTAACAAGTGGGCCAGAAAGTGGGCCTCCTGATTCCTGGTGGTGCTGTTCTACCAGGACCAGCTGCCTCCCTCATTTGGCTACAGCAGACATGGATGGCAGGAGGCCTCTCTTTAGAGAACTGACAGCCATGACTGAAATGCCAGTAGGACTCTCAGTGACTGACACCGAAGAAACCAAAGAGGCCATGTGACCCATCCCTGGGAAGCAAGCATGGAGATGGCCCTTTCTGTTTCTGCCCCAGGTGTCCAGGATGGGGACCGGGCATCTCCTTGGGGACAGCAGGATCCAGGTCAGACAGTGTGGCAGAAGGAAGGACTGGGATCTGTTATCCCATTCCTGACACATACGCTTGTAGACAGAAAGAACCTCTTTCTCAAACATTAGAGCAACTTTAATCCTGTGCCTGACCCCCTGGTACTCAAGGTTTTCATCAAGGGGCAGGACATGGAGCAGGTATCTCTCAGAGACTCCACCCCATTTAATCTAAAAGGAAGATGACATGTAGGAGATCACACCCAGTATGTGCATCTGGCCACAAGGGCCTCCAGACTGCACTGTTGTGGCTCAGGGTAATGGGGCCATTCTCAGTCCCAGGAGACCCCTGGGATTTAGAGTTTCATGGTGACCCAGTGGCATGGAGGGGAAATTACACAGCTTTGGAATGAAAGAGGAGTTCTAACTACACTTCCCTGGTTTATTTTGTCCCCTGCCCCTGCCCTGCAAGATCCCCTCATTGCTTTTGCTCTTCAGAAAGAAGACAGCAGCTGGAAATTCCCCAAGGAACAAACCCAGTCTACTCACAATAAGGATAGCGACAAAACAGGCCAGTGTGGTGTTCCAGTCCCCGCTGCCTGTGGCCGCCGCCTTGCCTACCAGCACACTGTAGAAGATGAAGTCTCCCAGGCCAAGCTTCACACCCCCTGTTTGGGGAAGAGAAAGTGGCCCCATTTAGCTCTCAGAAGCCTCAACAGGAAGCAAGCTAAGACAGGAGGGCAGATGACACCTGTCAGGGAAACCCAGCTGCTCTGTCCAGCACAAGGGGACCAGAGGCCAGAGGCATCAGTGTCCCTGCCCAGCACAATCCAGTTCACTAGGCTTCCAGCAGCAGCCATGCAGACTGGGGTTGGGGTCAGGCTGCCTCAAAAAGTAGCCACCAGTTTCTCCAGTCTGTCAGGAATGCAGCTCTGTTCATTAGATTTTCTTGTTTATAATTTCCTGACAGTCCCCCCGTCCCCCATTGTCAAGACAAAACCCCATGTCTTCCTCAGTCTACCATGAGGTCTACTAGTGCTCCCTGCGGGCTCTGTAACATAGAAACATGGTGCTCCCTGAAGGCTTCAGGGCTTTCTTCTGAACCTTTACAAATGCTGCTGAAGAATCTGACTGGCCTGTTTGATGGGTTCCTGGGGGAAAAAGAGACTGCGTTCTTGGCATTTTCCAAGTAATAGGAGCCTCTTTGTAATTCATGAGCCCCTTAGGTCACACCTGAGTCTATAATGAAATGACTCAGGATGGGAGCTGTCACCACAAAGACCATCTGATCAGAGGATCGGAACTTAGGGCCTGACCTCTAGGAAGGGGATGGTAGCTGTAGATGGAGGTTTAGTTCCAAGGACAAGGATTCACTCCATCATGCCCCCATAAGAAATGCTAATAAAAGCTCTGGACACTGTAGCTTGGTGAACACATCCGTGTGCCAGGCAAGTGACATGCTCTGTTCCACCAGGAGGGGACACAAAAGTGCCATGTTCAGGATCCTCCCAGACCTTGCCCCTCTATGTCTCTTCATTTGGCAAGCTCTGATTTGCATCCCTTATAATAATATTATAAGTATAGTACTTTCCTGAATTCTGTGAGTTATTCTGGTGAGTTCTTGAACCTAAAGGGTCATGGGAATGCCTGAATTTGTAGCGTTGGTCACAGGTACTTCCTGGGAACAGAGTCTTTGTCATACTATAGCAGCTCCCTGTTCCAGTTCTGCCTGGCCTCTGCCTGGGGAAGCTATTACCCCAACTCTCACAGTGGCCCAATGTAGTGGCAGTACTGTCACCTGCTATGACCCACCTTCTGAGCCCAAGAGCCCATACCCATCTGCCTCCACACAAGACGTTAGGATGATGACCTACAAACCACCCAAGGATATGCTTCCAGAAAGAGGTCTCCACAGGCCACTACTCTGCTCCGCTAGTCATGTCAATCTCCCATACAGTTCAAATCCTCCTGAAGGCTCTCACTGCTCCCGAGATATAGATGAGAACCCCCAGCCTCCCCACCTCATCTGCACTGCCAGTCTCAGTGTCCTGCCCTCACTTCCTCTAACTCAACATGCTGCTGTCTGCCTCAGGTTCCGATCCCTGGGAAATGCCCCCCTGTGCTCCCCTCTTCTAGTTACAGCTATGACTCACCCACAGGAGCTGAGCTCAGAAGTTACCCCCTCATGGAACTCTATGACCATCAGGAAACCTGCCTTCCATTCTCCTGGCACCCCATTGGTCTCCCTCAGTCCTTATTGGCTTTTATAGTATGATTAGCACCTGTGCCCTGTTAGCCCCTGGGATCCACCATAGCAGGGCCTCACCTAGCACAGCACAGCACAGGTATACACAGTGGACGCTTAAAACACATCTGACAAATATACAGGTTAGCCTGCGTGGAAAAGGCCCAGGGCCTGGCAATGAGAGAGACTTTGGCTTTGCAGTTTCTCCTTGATTTTCATAGATACCTTTGATAAATAAAGGGCTTCTTTTCTCATACCCTCCTCCACCCAGATTTCAGGGAGCCCCACCTCCACCCTGCCCATGGCTAGAGCAGACCATCTGAATACGGGCACCTTACTTTCCTCTTCTTCTTCCAGCTCCTCCCCCGGGTAGCCAGGCAGGTGGGGTTCAAAGACTTCAGGGTATGAGGGCTCCCCAAAACTGTCATAGGAGTCTTCTTCTGTGTGCCCATCATTGTCATGAGGTGGGGGTAAAGGAGAGAGAGAAAAGCCAGTCAGAGGGTTCCCCAGGCCCTGGAAACAAAGTTCCAGAAAGCCCCCACCACCAGTACCACTGGCTGATCTCAGGGTTTTCTGCCCCTCCCCTGCCAGCCCCAACCATCAGAAATGAAGCAGAAGGGGCTGCAGCCCAGGATCTTCAATCTCTGAGATGCCTGTGCCTAGGGGGCTGGCTTTCAGATGACATCGCTCTGTACTCCTGAACTTTGCTTCCTGGAAAGGCCAGGCCAGGCCAGGCAGAGCTGGGTACAGGTATGGAGCTGCCCTCTAGTGATGAGAGGCTGTCAGTCCCCCACCCCCATAACTTACCCATCTCCGGGTCGTAGGGAAGCTGGAGGGCTCCCTGAGAGGAGGGGTCCAGCTTTGCCATGCCCACTGTCCACACCATGGCGGCTAGGGGAAGGAGAAAAGGGTCACACCTCAGGCAGTGCTGAGCAGTGGCTGCACCCACCTGGGGAGAAGTGATTCAGTCTGTTTCTAGAAAAACTGTATGAGGCTCTCCAATCTCTGGGTATTTGTTCAGGCTCCACTATTAGAAGTTGCTGGGAGAGGGGTACCAACTCACTGTCCAACTGTGGACAGACTATCATTTTTTGTCTTTTTTCCCCCTCCTCACAGTAACATCAGTGAATAATTTGGTAAAATAATTGTGCTGTTTTTAAAACTGTCTTAACAAAAACCTTATAACATAAAATGTTAACATGTTAACTATTTCTAAATGTACAGTTCACATCGCTGTGCAACGATCTTCAGGAGGCTTCCATCTTGCAAAACTGAAACTCTGTGTCCATTAAACATTTTCCCTTTACCCTCTCCTGCTGCTTGTTACTGCCACTCATCCTACTGTCTCTGTGTTTGACTACTCTAGATACCTCATATGAGAGGATCATGTTTGTCTTTATCATTCGTTTAATTATTGTGCAGAAAGCCCTCAAGGTTTATCCATGTTGTATCATGTGTCAAAATTTCCTTCCTTTTCCTTTTGGTCTTAGCAAGAACAATTAGATGAGGGAAAAAAAAATACAAGGCATCCAAGTTGGAAAAGAAAGTTAAATTATTCATGTTTTCAGACAACATGATTTTACATATAGCAAAACCTACTACTTCATCAAAAATGCTTGCAGAACTTATAAACAAATTCAGTCAAGTTGTAGGATGTAAAAATCAACATACAAAAAAACACACTGTAGCACTTTTACACACAATAATGCTGAAAAAAAATTAAGGTATTTTTTATACTGTAAAAAATTATAAAATTATTAAAAAATTATAAAAAAAACACTTTGGAATAAATTTAACCAAGGAAGTGAGATATTTCTACAATGAAAACTGTAAAACACTGATGAGAAAAATTATAGGGGACACCAAAATATGGAAAGATATCCTGTGTTCATGGATTAAAAAAATCAAAATTGTTTAAATGACCATACTACTCAAAGCAATCTATAGATTCAATATTCCTATCAGAAAGCCAACAGCTTCCTTTACAGAAATAAATTAAAAAAAAAAAAAAAAAAAACCAAGCCATGGTTTTTTTGCACAGGTGATGTGCACCTATAGTCCCAGCTACTTGAGAGGCTGAGGCAGGAGGATCACCTGAACTTGTGCATTTGAGACCAGACTGTGCATGAAATACCATGTCACCAAAATAATACTAAATAAATAAAAAGAAACAGAAAACAAACAAACAAAAAAAGTCTGGGACTACAGCACAGCAACACAGGTGGACCACAGGTCATTATATTAAGTGAAATAAGCCAGGGATAGAAAGATAAAATATCCAATGTTCTCACTCATTTATGGAAACTATCAAGTCAGTCTTGTAGAAGAATGGAATGGAATGGAGGTTATGTGAGACTGGGAAGAGCAAGGGGAAGAAGCGAAAGTTCATTAGCGGGCCAAACAGAGTGGAGAGACTGCTATTGGTTCTTTTTTGGCATAGTAGGGTAACTATAGGTTAATAGGTAACAACTTGCTCTCGGTTCTCTTGGGTACATACCCAGAAGAGGGACTGCTGGATCACGTGAGACTAACTAAATCGTGCTCTCTCCCTCTAGCCTGGACACTGTCCCCTGAACTTAACTACTCTGTGTCTACAACTCTCCACTGGGAGGTCCAGCGAGTGCCTCACACTCAATATGCACCAGAGCAAACTTTCAGCACTCCTGCAACTGCTACCGGTCTGCTCCCTCTCAGCAGAGGTTTATCAGGTTCAAATCACTGACATCATCCTTTACTCTCTTTGGCCCACTATACACACCCTACCCATCAACAACCCTCACCAACTCTGCTTCCAAAACATCTCCAGAAGCCTACTACAACTCGCTGTCTATACTGCTGCCCCCACTTCCAAAACCCATCCTCTCTCTCCTGGGTTATTATTCAGTCCATTCAGCCCTCAAAACTGGATCCTGCTTCTGCTCTTGTCCCTCCAACACTGTGTTCTCCAACACCAACCTGTGTGATCCTGTTAAAATATCAAGTCAGGTCAGCCCAAAACCTTTACATACCATTAATGAGTAAGAGCCAAATCCTCACTGTGGCCTTCAGGGGTTAAAGTGATCTGGACCCTCCTCTCTCCCCTTCATTATCTCTGCTCCAGCTACTCTGGTCTCTGGGTGCTCCTTGAGCACCTGGCCCATGTCCATCTAGCACCTTTGCACTTACTGCTGTCCCTCTGACCTGGGACGCTGGCCCCCAGATTTCCATACAGCACCCTCCTTTACCTAAGTCTAGTGACTGGTCAAATATCACCTGACCATCTTATGTAAAGGAGTATCATCCTATGCTCCTCAAATCCTTAGTCTCTTAGCAGAGCACTCATTACCTCCTGACTTATGTTTTTATCTATTTTGTTCCTGTTCCTCTCCCTTCCTGGAATGTAAGCTCTAGTAGAGCAAGGACTTCATCTATCCACAGGTGACTCCCCAGAGCCCTGGAGCACTCAGCACTAGCACTGTCTCAGTCTTTCCATACATGGTCTCTGCTCTCCTTGGAAGATTCCTGGAATGTGCTTTCAGGTCATGCTGATGGTAATTCTCCATTACAAGCTTGGGTCCTCATTCATGCCAAATTATCTAGTACTGAAGTCATTCTATAAATTGTTTCTCAGGATACTGCAGGTCCCAGAAATTCCTGCTTTTACTTAAACAAGCCCCACTGTGGGGAGCCACTCTGAATGACTCACGCCTTCCATCCTGAATCAAGAGGCTTTGACCATCACTACATAGTGATCTGGGCGTTGTCCCAGTTCAGGAAGTTGAGGGTGTGTCTTCAGATGTAGGTGACACCCCTTGATTTGAATTACACTCCCCTGTTCCTTGTAACCCTGCCCCTTCTGGCTTTTGGATGGAAATTTCTAAGATAAGGGTCTCCCCAATAAAAGCCCACTTCCAAATGTGCTCTCTCTCGCCAGCCTCTCGTGACTTTCTCTTGCTCTCCCATTTGGGGAGCCTGAGGCTGAGAGCGGAGAAGCCGTCCTGAAGCTTGTTTAAAGGTAAAGTGTGTGTCTGTGTTTTATTTGGTGTCCTTGGAAATTCACACGAGCGACCTTAAGTTCAGCTGCCTGTGAGGGTCGGGGGCAGCACCCCACCATCAATAGACAAGAGGTGGTCAAACCACAGGGACATAAGCTCCATGAGGCTCCAGGCCTGCTAGACCCTCAATGCCTAGCCATAAAGTAGGGACTTCATGAATACTAGGGACATTTGTTGAATGCACATATAAATACAAATTCCTAAACCCCAAGTCAAGGGAGATTCTATGTGCCTTTCCTTCAGAGATGACTAACTTCTGAGCCATGCTGCTGTCAAGGAAGCCCAGGGAGAGACAGGAGCTCCCTTCCCCCAGATCCCTACCCTGAAAAATCCTTCTCCAAAGTCTTTCCTCAGGAGCCTAAAAGGCTGAGGGGGTGGTTTCAGGGCTACAGAGGATCCTGAGAGCATGGCCCGCACCACCACTGAGTGATAAATGGGATGCAGTCACAGGGCTGACTCCAGGCCCCCTCAGAGTTCCTTTGACTTCCCATGATGCTTCTTCTGTGACAGCAAGATACAGCTCACTGTGGTCTTTGAAGGTACACAGCTTCCTGGTATCACCAAGGCAGGATCCCCTCCTTCAGTCAGGGAAAGAGTGTCTCTTGTCAACTCTGAAAGCCAAGGCCAAGTGCCCCTATCCCCACTTTAGGTTGCCTGCTGATTCCTTGGTCAAGCAGAGATATGAGTGCCCACTTACATGAGTATATCAAGGCAGGAAATATGGGTTCATTCCTCTCCTGGGCAGTTTCCACCAGCATTCTCAGTGGCCCTTTAGGACATAACACAGCCACAAGATCTGGGAAAACAGACACGTCCTTGTCATTTTAAAAAAGACATTTATTCCCAAGGAGCCCCAGAGAGGAGTCAGCTCTCTATCACCAGGATCCCCAGAGTAGAGCTGCCAGAATGTTCACTGCCACTGGGCTAGCTACCCAACCTCATCAATTTCTGATCATATCTAGAATCTTGTACTGGCTGGATCCCAGAGCAGGGCCTAAAGCAGTAAACCAAACAAGAAAGAGCTGTGAACCTGAGACCCAGAGGACAGGCTTGGAAGTCTCACTTCTCTGAGTCTCAAATTTCTTTTTTTTCTTTTTTGCAGGGGGTACCAGGGATTGAACTCAGGGGCACTCAACCACTGAGCCACATTCCTAGCCCTGTTTTGTATTTTATTTAGAGACAGGGTCTCACTGAGTTGCTTAGTGGCTCGCTGTTACTGAGGCTGGCTTTGAACTCACGATCCTCCTGTCTCAGCCTCCTGAGCCATTACAGACGTGCACCACCATGCCTGGCTGAGTCTTAAATTTCTTAGCCTTAAAACAGGAATGTCAATATTGGCAATAATAATCATACTAATATTAATTAAACAACAGCTAGCATTTTGAGTAGTTAAGGTATTCAAGGTACTTTGGGTTATTCTTGGGAACAGAGCTTTTAGTGTGTCCAGTGCTTACAGTGGCATGCTCAATAATCATGAGAACAAGAATGAAAATAAGGTGTGTGGTGATTACTGGTTAGAAAAACATGTGTCCATGGGACCCCGATGTTTTACAAAGAAGAGTTTCCTACAAGGCCTCCTCAGGGTGGGTCTGAGCATTTCGACACCTGCCATTCTTCTGCAGTACTGACAGTGTCTCAGTCCTAGGCATCACCCCCTGCCCACTGCCAGGCTCACCTCCACCTACCATACACAGAGATGGCACCCAGGATGACCCACGCAGACCACTCTGGGAGGTACTTGATGAATACCAAGGCCATGAGGGCACTGATCATGATGAGGTAGGCCTGCTGCAGCACCAGGGGGCCCTTCCAGTGGATGCACACCATGCCTACTGCCCCGAAGTTCCAGACAGTCAGGAAGAGGGTGGGGTAGTCCATGGCCACATTGTAGGTCTTGAGCACTTCTCTGCAGGACCAAGGTTGAGCCATGGGGTGGGAAACTCAGTGGAGATGTCACATCCTGCATGGTTAACATCCTCTGTTCCTCAGCCATTAAGTCCCAATCTAGGTTTTGATAACCTGGGTCTTATTTACTATGGTCCCGTACCCCAGTTCCACTGATCCTACAACCAAGCACTTAAAATATTTGTTTCTGGAATAGGATGGGGAATAAAGCAATGACTCATGCTTGGAATGGCTCATATAAACGTTCACTGGCACCACTTAGAAGATGCTCTGCTTATGGAAAAAGCCCGGGGAAATGTTCTTTGTGTCCCTGGTGAGGCTAACAAACCAAATCAAAGGACAACAGGGTAGACAGTTTTTTTTCCCCCATAAATTATATAAGTATCCAGACCTAGCCCAAAATTGGAATGTAAAATTTGAGGGGCTTCTGTCCCTCTTGGTGGTAACAGAGAGCCGCTCCATGACGGTTTAAATCAGGAATCAGAAAGATGTGGTCCACACTGGAGCCCTATTCCTCTGTTAAGTTCTGTGCAAGAGGAACCTAGAGGCCTGGACTCTTAGAAGAGCTGATTCTGGGGAGAGCTGGAGCTCAAGAGCCATCTTTCCCTACCCAGGTCTTTCATATCCACTTATGCTGGAAGGGGTCCCCAGGGACCCTGCTGCTCACCAACTACCACTTACCCGAGGTAGATGTAAGTGAATAGGAACAGCAACATCAGAGAGGACATGATCAACCAGCCATGGATGAACTAGACAAAAGAAATAGGAGGACCATGAAAAGAGATTCCCAAGCTCCCCAGACCACAAGCCCCCAGGCTGCTAGGACTGCTGCTTAGGCTGGGTGTCCTTTTTATATAGGCTACTTCATGAACGTGTGGGAAAGTGTCAGGTGGCCATCTTACAGAGAAGGAGGTCTTTCTTAGGTCACCCTGCAGTTGTCTGAGGGAGATGAGCCTCAGCCTTGTGCTCGCCACACTTCAGCACTAACTCTCTTAGTATCTCCTACTTGCCGGGCACCATTCTAGGCTCTGGAGAGAGAACCAATGAAGTCTCTGTTCATGAGTATATTCTAGGATGAAGGGAATTCAAATATCACATAAATGGAATAGGCACAATATTAATGGGTAGTGATAAGGGTTAAGGGGGAAAAAAAGATCAGTAGGAAAAGTGACAGAAGACTCACTGGGGTGTAATTTCAGCGTTAAGTGGTCAGGCAGGCCTATCTAAGGACTATTTTAAAAAAAATTTTTTTTTTGTAGTCATAGGTGGACATCATACCATTGTTTATTTTTATGTGGTGCCAAGGATCGAACCCAGTGCCTCATACATGCTAGGCAAGCACTCTGCCACTGAGCTACAGCCCCAGCCCCTTGAGGTACTATTTTTGAAAGTCCCCTCCTACCCAAGGGTCTACAAATAGGTCTATCTTCTGTTGGCCCAGCATGGAGAGGTCAAAAAACAAGGGTGGGCCTGATCCTAAACCAGATCCTCAGCTAGTCCTCAGTGGTACAGTGGTGTCACTTCCTTGCAGTCTCATCTCTGAGGACCAGCTCATCACTTAGCAGCTTGGTCCATGAGGACCCCAGCAGAAACCTGGTCTACCTGGTGGAAAGTGGCCACCAAGGCTCTGCTGCATGCCAGGTCAAGAGGGAACTTGTTCATACTCTTTATTGCAACTACCACCGGCCCACATGGGTCACAATTATCTCCTGTTTGTCACATCTCCAAGAATACCTTACTGAAAGATGGTTAAGCCACTTCTTCGTGGTCTCTGGGCCTGGCCACCTGACATCTACTGGCCATAACAGGGCCAGTATTCCATGCTCCCCACGCTGTTTCTAGCTTGCTTACCCACATGCCATATGTTCTGCTCCAAAATGAGCAGCCCTCTACCTCTTCCCACCATTCCTGTGACCTTCCTGCTTCAATACTAAAGGTCTGCCTCATTTACACAGACAACTGTTATGTATCCATAAGTTGCAGCTCAGGGGCATTTCCTGATAGTCCTTCCCATGGCTCATGCCCATGTCACTCTCCCTGGGACTGCTTGGCTCCCTGCCTGCACCACCTGTCTCATCCCTGCAGACCCCAGTCTTTCTGCTTCTCCTCTCTCCGGGCTCCATGAACAGCAGCTGCCTAAATACAAAGCAATGGGCCAAGCTTGTGTGCAGTTTTCAATTAGGTAATGCCTAGCTTAACTTCCTTTCAATCTTTAGGGTTGTAAAGCCTTCTGCCTAAAACCAGTGTCTAAGAGCTTATAGCATCTTTGGGGACAGGAGCTACCCACAATTGGGGCCAGGCATGACTCAGCTACTCCCAGGGGCGGCTCAGTGGCTGCAGGTGGGTCCAACCCAAACACTTCCCAGAGCTGAAAGCCTCAGCATAGCATCTGATCATCCCTGTCCAAAAGGGAAATGGAAAAATAAAAATAAACCCAGAGGGGAAGTGTCAGGGTGAAGGAAACCTAAAATAGAACTTCAGGAGGAGAAACAAAACAAAATTACCTTCTGAATGGGAGAACTGACACTTGGAACATTAAAAAGAGGAACTCAGTAAGTGGAATAAAGTTTGTGTGTTTTTGTTTTGTATTTTTGGCAGTACTGGGATTAAACCTCTCCATTGAGCTATACCCCCACCCCTTTAAAAAGTTTTGACACAGTGTCTTTCTAAGTTGCTGAGGCTGGCCTCAAACTTGTGATCCTTCTGCTTCAGCCTCCCAAACTGCTGGGACTATAGGTATGCATCACTGCACCCATGAAAGTTTAAAAAACAATAGTTTTAGGTAATCCATGGTGAGAGACAGGAGTAGGGTGGGAAAGAATGCCCGAAACAGTCTATTTCCCAGAAAAGATAGGGCTCTAAAAGTTTTTTTTTAAAAAAAGATTGTTGTGAGGGCTGGGGATGTAGCTCAGTGGTAGAGGACTTCCTAGCATTTGTGAGGCCCTATGTTCAATTTCTAGCACCCCTCAAAAAATGTTACTGTACAGTGGGTCCCATTGGGCAGGTGCTATGGAGAGGAGAGGAGAGACAGGAGGAGGGAAAGATGGGCAGAGGGTGTACGGGCCTCACCTTGTAGCAGCGGTACTTGTACAGCACCACCAGGAAGATGGTCATGACCACGATGACACTGATCATGATGAGGGTGTTCAGCACAGAGTTGAGGAGGCGCTGGCCCACTGAGGGAGTGTCCTCGGTGAAGGGAGTGTAGATGCTGGGAAGGCAACAGGCTGGTGGTCTTGGTTCCTGCCTGCTCTGTAACACCCCCAACCCTGAGCGATGCTCGGAGCCACTGTGGGTGCCTGGACATTCCCACACTGCTTCAGCACAGCCCTCATGACAGGAGTGCTTCCACCATCATGAGCAGTCCCTGACTGCTGGGTCCTTTGCCAGAATCCTGACCATGTACCTGTGGCTTGCAGCTTCATGTCTGGAGCAGAGGGAGCATGGACTAGATGACCGCATCAACACCTCTCCTTGCCACCCAAATTAAATCCCTCCTGGAGGTGCTTCTCTCTGTCAGCCCTGGTCCCTACAGGTCCAATGGTGTCTCACATCCACACTTCTTCATCAGCTCCACCCAGACTAGGACTTATCCAGAGCTGTTCCCCCATCCCCACCCACTGGAGCCCTGGTGGGGCACAAGAACCTGCTATTCCCAGCCTGGACTTCCAGGAGCATCTGCTGGGCCAATCCTCTCAATGCTTTTCACCTGTGCTGCTCTGAGTCCCCAACAGGTATAAGCTTCCTGAGGGTGGTGCTTCGTTCCTTCTTTTAAAAACCCAAAATCAAACCCAAATAAGTTTCCAACTAAAACCCCCAGATGTTTAGAGAAGGCTCTGAACAGTGATGGGCACAGGGAAGTCAGAAGGGAAGTTCCTGTTTATGCTGCAACATCTGCATGTATGTGTCAAGTTTACTGCCATCAACAAAGGGCCCTGTAAATCTTTCTCTCCAGGTTGGAAGCTCAGAAATCATCTGATCTAACACCATCAATTTATATCCAAGGGAACAGAGAGACCTGGGTTTTGGAACATGGAGCTCAGTGCTGTGTGGCCAGAGCTTGCCTTCTATGTTATTCACTTGCTTAATTCTCCAGGTAGCCCCATTATTAAACTCCGACACAGAGAAGGAAGCTGAGAAGCATGCCCAGGCAAGTAACTGCCAGGAGTCAATGGGTCGGGGTATGAACACAGGTAGCCCTCTGTTCCTACTCTTCACTGTCAATGGCATGCAGCTGCAGATGCAGTGGCCAAAGGAAGCCACAACCACCCCAAACCCATCTCCACTCTATTGCCACTCCACCCCACGCTGCCCAGGCCCCCAACTCACAGCTGTCCATTCTTCTCTGTGTAGAAGCGCACGGACTTGATGGTAGCCACCACGACAATCATGCACAGTGTGACAGGCACAAACAGCATGATAACGTGCTTCGCCCCATATTTGAGGGTCAGCTCTTCCTCCAGGCCTGGTGGCCGTCCAGGGACCCTGCTGCAGTCATAGTGGTCAGGGTCCTCCTCGCAGTCCTCCTCGCTATCTTGGCTCCTCTGTGGGAAACCACATCTTGAGGACCATGGAGTGCCTGCCCCACATGATGAACTGGTGATGTAGGGCAGGGATTTTGAAATCAGAAATGAGAAGCTGAATGATGTTTTCTAGGTATAAGCAGCAATTTAAGAGCTGTAATTGAGATGTGTGAGTGTTGCATTTTTAGGATGTATGAAAGATTTGGGAGGACAATAGTAAAGAAAAAATGGAGTTGGACTAACCAGCACAAATAAAGAGAGGGAGGCTGCCACTGTCACAGAAGAGCAGTCTCTGGTCCACAACTCAACAGCTAATGAATTTGGAACCCATCAAAAGATATTTTCCCTACCAAAGTACAGGGACTCAGGATGCCCCTCAATTCTGTTCAAATGGTCATACTGACCTGGGAGGAGACAGGCCAGGTGGTAGGAGGAAAAAGGATCAAACATTTTCCATCGATAAATCACTAAATAGAATAAGGAGCACATAGGGGGACTTTCTTCGGTTGTGAATAAGACACTAGGAACTGGTAGAGAAAGAAATTACCTTGAACTTTTGCCTCACAAAATCAAGAAGTAAACTTGTAGCTCTGAATTAGAAGAGCTGGGCTCTGGATAGGTGAGAGAGTTCAAATGAGAGAGCAGCAAGGAGGGAAGGATACCTGTCAGACACATACTGGCAGAAACTGGTTGGCAAGAATTAGTGTTTTGGAATTGTGGAATTAAGGGCCACTAGCTACCTTGTTAATTAGGTTAACAGCAAAAGAACAAGTTAAATGAAACCAAATCAGAAAAGGACAGTTGCTTCGTGTTGGTTCTTTGCAGAGAGAGTTCCAATTTAGTTGTTTATCTAAGGGAAGGAGAGCTGTTGAAGGACTGGAACACAAACAAGTAAAATGCACAAAAACTCCAGGAGATAAAAGAAGAAAATAGCAAGAAAAGGCTGAGCAGTGACCTTGAGCTGGTGATATTTCACTCAGAATTCAGGACAACAGGCTCTGTGCTCGTGAAAAATGTGGAGAAATGAGCTCAAATTTCAGCAAAGGGGATTAAAGCTGGCTGTAAGAAAAAAGTCCACAAAGAAAGGTTTTTAACTACAATAATGAGCAAAACAGAGAAAGGGATTTAGGCAGATTCAGATGTTCTGCCTAATGAAAGGCAGATGGCACAGCTTAGTGATTCTCCCAAGTCTACCCCACTCCTGCCCTGAGGCTGCAGGTAAGATGACAGTACCTCCAGCTGGAGAGTCAATGGTGACTTAGGCAGATTCATCTCATGGATATCATGTCTAGCTGCACACCTAGCCAAATAAGTTTCCCTCCTACCTTCCTAAAGCTTTAGTGTTACCTGTTCTAGCTTCCAAACTCACTCTCATGTTACCATGGAAACAGTGACCTGCACTAGAAAGGTAAATCTAAGGGGGCAGGGATGGAGGGCATCACCCAGGCCATTTCACAGCTGATTTTAGACTGTGTGGAGAGTCTACTTAGAAATCCCTCAAAGATGCAAGATCCACCATGGCGGACAATCTACTTCCTTGGCCAATTCTCAGATTTACTCCCTCCTCTCTCCAGTTGGGGAATGTCTGTTTTTCAATCATGTTAGCTTCTGTCTCTGTTAACACACATCTAAGATAAATTAACTTATAAGAGAAAAGGTTTATTTGTGCTCCCAGTTTCGGAGGTTCCAGTTCTTGATCAAATGACCCTATTCCCTTGGGCCTGAAGTGAGGAAGCACATTACAGCAGAAGCACAGAGCAGAACAAAACAGGCCACCTCATGGCCAGGCCATGAAAGAGAAGAGGAAGAGGCTGGGGTCCCACTACTCCCTGCAAGAACACACCCCAGGTACCTGAAGACCTCCCACTAGGTTCCACCTCCTAAAGGTCCTCGCACCTCCCAGTAGAACCATCCTGGGGACTAAGCCCTTAACACACGGGACAGGGCTTCGGGGGACATTTCAAATACAAACTACACCAATCCATAGAGTTTAGGAACCCCAAGCTCCTGTTTTAAGACCTCCAACTGCTAGTGGGACCTACCCACTGGGCAGTGTTCTCTCCATCCTCCAGCCCCTGCCTGCCCTCCTGGCAGGAGCGCGGTGTAGGACTCTCGGCTGACATCAGGGATGTCCGCTCATTGCACACTTCTTCGTCGCTGTCAGAGGCCATGAATGTGAGCATGGCCCTGCCTCAGGAAGCACCTGGAAAAGGAGCACAGGGATCCTGTATCACTCTGTGAAGCAAAGGCAGTGAGGGCTAAGGTGGTGGATGGGACAGCCTGAAGACCCAGACACAGGTCCTCCCCATCATGAGATCTGTATGTTAAATGACTGCTATAGAATAGGAGCTCCCAAGGGCTGCCTGAGGCTGCCACTGCCAAGTGTGGGAATGCCTGAGGAGGCTTGTACTCAGGGAATATAAAGATGAGTAAGAGATACTTTTGTGCTATCAACAAAAATCATCCAAGGTGACAAATGGTATCATCCAGATATTGGTCAAAAGGTAATACAAAGAAGGGCCTAGATCTCAAAGACCAGAAGTGTTTTCTAGAGAAGATAGAAATTTTGCTGGAGACAAGATTTTCCAGGTGGGGCAGAGAATGCAAAGGGCAGAGGACAGGTCAGATTGCGGTGGTGTGAAAGGTCTCCTATGCCATGTGGGGGAGGCCTCTGTCTCTTTAAGGACAGTCAAGACACATGACAGATCCGATCTGTGTTTATAAGTCCCTCAGTCTGGCCAGTGACTGCAAAGGGAAGAGGACAGTTCAGAAGGATGAGGTGATAATCTGATGTAGGGACCTGATATGGAGAATAAAATAAAGGATGGGACCTAGGATGATTGCCACACTGGGCTAAGCTGGGAATGACAGGAGAAGCAAGGTTCAGAGGAAGGACTGAATTTGTTTCAGGAACCCATGGAGTATCTGTGGGTTAAAAAGGGGAGTTCACTGAGGGCCCATCTAGGTCTGAGGGTCTGGGTAAAAGAATCATGAACTAAGTAGTGGTAGCCACAGCCACAAGAGAAAGTGCACCCACACTAGCAAGTGTGTGGGTGGAAGGGCCACTATGGGTGGGACCCCAAGGAGCATCAATGCCAAAGAGACCACAGAGGAGGGAAGCCTGCCCCGAGGACTATTGTGCAGTTCCAAATGGAGTTCCAACACAGCAAAACCCCATGAAAACCAGTGCAGTGCCAAACACACACACACTTCAGGTCTGGGAAGGACACAGGACAACCCATTGGGGACATCTTGAACAGGGATATCTGTTGAGCCACCAGTAACCTCCCACAGACTGTTGGGGCTGAACTTCTGCTGAAAGCTCATCTCCAGGCAAGTCACCCTGGAATTCATGGAATTTCCAGATGGTCCTTCCACCCAGACAGCCAGGTTTATTTCTCTAGCAGCGCCTGTGGCTGCCACTTTTTTTCTTTTTGAAGATAGCCATTGTGGCCTGGAGTATTCTCATAGGAACTTTAACTCCCTCCCAGTTATAGGCATGAAGCATGACCTGCCTCTGTTTACCTTCCTGGCTCAAGCCTACTGCAAAGGCTCCCCATTGATCTCGCAGGGATTTCAGCCAATAAACCCCTCAGCCTCAGAAGATCTCATTGAGGGTCCATCAGAAAAACAGGAGTAAGAACAGAAGAAAGAAAAGTAAGTTCCAGGAGGGAGGTAATAAGGACCATGGCTGCTAAGTTAAGAAAAAGAAAATCTGTCAACCATTAGCATTGGATGACTCAGGTTTCATGGAGTAAGAGAAACAGGAAGTGCGCCTCACAGGTTAGGAATATTTTGCCTGGCTGAGATGGAAAGAGGTGGTCATTCTAGAAAGTGGTAACCACTTAAGTGAATATATAAGATGGGACCTAACCTGACAATAGCAAGTACCTGGTCGAGTAGACCATTCCAGGGAGGGGCTGGGTGCCTTACCAAGGCAGGGGCTCTCACCTTTTCACTTGGAATCCCCCAAGACTAGGTTTAGCCCAAGGCCATAAGAGAGTATTATGACCCCAAGCCCTGGCTGGGAACCAGTTTGAGGGGACACAGCTTCACAGCCCCAACTCACCATGAGACCTGGGGTAGTTCTTCCCTTTTAGTTGTTTCATCTATGAAAATTAAAGAAACTATCAGGTGGGTTCTAGAAGAAACTTTAAGGTTGTCCTCTCATTTGTGAGGCTTAGCCTCTCTAGATACACCCTAAATGAACACCTGCTTAGACTCAGGAGTTCCCCTTACATCCCCCCTCCAGGATTGGTGAATTCTCTTACTCAGAGAGAGCACCTAGTGCTAGAGCCGCAGCTCACTGGTAGAGCACTTGCCTGACATGTACAAGGCCCTGGGTTCCGTCCCAGCACTGCAACAATATTAAAAGTGTGTGTGTGGGGGGGGGGGGGGGGGCACCTAAAACAAACAGCTGGTTGCATTTTCTCTAGCTAAATTATAACATTCAAAATTGATGCCTTAGATGGGAGATGATGCTAGTGGCTCTTTTCATCCGTTGTTAGCATGGTGTTTTGTTTGGGGTGTGAATTAATAAATTACAATCTCCCTCCTAGTGTTCTTCCCATGCCTCTAGGGTGCCTGTGATTCATCTTCATAGTGAATGGAGGAGCAGATCTGGAAGTCCTTGTATCTCAAACACCATAGAGTCAGCCCCTGAGGACCAGACAAGTGTGACAATGTTCAGAGGCTGCCTGTTCTAAGACTTGGAGGTAATGCTCAAGAGAAATGGAAAGGTGCTTCTATGAAGGACAAAGGGAGCTAACAGAAGAGTGGGCTCAAAAAGGTAGGGCACCTAGGACCAAACAGGACTAAGTCCTTCCAATTTCCATTTCTCCATTCAGCTGCCAAGAGCTAAGATATTCCCTGGAAAGCACTTTGCCCAAGTTTCCCTGATATCTGAGGACACATTGGGGAGGGTAAGCTTAAAGAAAGGCTATGCTCATTCCATGTGACACTGCACTGAACAGAGAAGAACACTGTCCTCACCATCCATACTTGCTGACCAGCATATAGGTCTGCTCTCATCAGGACCTAACAGCTCTTTAGAAAGAAACATTTGAAAACCAAAAAATATGCTTTTGAGTCCACAAAGAAATTCATACATATGGCCTCCTCACCAGAAACAACTCTGTTGAAGCAGATTCCTTCCTTCATTTATTATTTTTTAAAACTCCCCTGATGCTATGCCAAAGAAAGTAGAGGGCCCAAGCTCCAGGCAGGCAGGGCAGGAGAGGTCTGGTGTTTAGAAGTGATTGGGGGAAAAGCTGGTTTTTATTGGTAAAGCATGGGCACAATGTGATCACAACCCTCCTAGCCTGCTCGGGGTGAGGGTGACAGGTAGGAGGCACCTCTCTTGAGCTCCTACCACTTGAGGGACCAACAAAGCATGTAAGAAAGGCTGCCCTTTAAGATCACTATTTCTCAAAGATGGTCATGGCCACTAAGGGGCCAGTGGTGGCATCTTAGTAAGCACTAAATGCAAGAACCCCAGGAGTTAGGTGCCACTATTATCTCCCATTTTACAGAAGAGGAAAGAGGTTTAAAAAGTGACTGTTCTTCTTCTTGCAGTACTAAGAGTTGAACCTAGGGCCTTGGGCAAACTAGGCAAGTGCTCTACCACTGGGCCACACAACCAATTTGCTCTGGAGATACAGCTCAGCAGTAGAGTGCTTGTGTGGCATGTGCAAGGCCCTGGGTTCCATTCCCAGCCCTACAAGAAAATAAAAAGTGACTAATTCAAGGTAGCCTTGGACCCAGGTATTCTGTTTCCTGGTTCTTCAACACTATTGCTAGGTTGTGTATTAAAAATGCAGATTCCAGCTGGGCACAGTGGTGCACACTTGTAATTCCAGTAGCTTGGGAGGCTGAGCAGGAGGATCACAAATTCAAAGCCCAGCCTCAGCAACTTAGGATGACCCTAAGCAACTTAGCAATCCTGTGTCTCGAAATTTAAAAAAATTTAAAAAGGGCTGAGAATATGGCTCAGTGGCTAAGTACCCCTGGGTTCAATCTCAAGTCCCTGCCCCCTCCCCCCCCCCCCCCCCCCCCCCCCCCCCCAATGCAGATCTTGGAGCTCCATCCTAATGCCTGAGATTCTGCATTCCAGAATGGTTCCTGAGCAACTATGCCCATTAGACAGTCTCTGGGATGTTCTGGCTGTTTAATCACCAGGCTGGGCCTTGGCTCAGTAAGGCAAGTACACCTCCTCACCTACAACCTCCATGTCCCCACTGCAAAGCACTACTCCACTGCTGGATGAGGGAGTAAAAGAATGAACAGCCCTTTCCCCTAAACATGGAGGGCCTGATCAGAAAACAACTGGGGAGGCAAAGGAATGGAAGGTGCTCAGACTAGCATAGTGCTCACATCCAAAAAAGGCCCCAAATAGTGCCTGCTGTGGAAAAACTGGGTGTCAAACACCTCTGGGACATTTTGAACTGAAAAATCAAAAGCTATAATGATATTCATATCTTGAGATTCTGAAATGCTACTTCTCAGAAAACAGCAAGATTCATGCAAAAAACTGGGTGTTGCAGTTACTTAAGTGAATGAGACATCTGACCCTGTACTGAGACACAGTTGGCCTTCCTATCTGCAACTTGACTTTCTGTGGTTTCAGTTACCCATGATCAACTGTGGTCCAAAAACATTACATGGAAAATTCCTTTGTTTTAAATAAATTTTATTATAATATATTGTTATGATTGTTTTATATTATTATTAGTTAATCTCTATGCCTAATTTATAAGTTAAACTTTATCCTAGATGTGTATGTATAGATAAAAAGCGTAATATATGGAAGATTTGGTACTGAGGTTCCAGGCATCTTTTGGAGGTCTTGAGATGTATCCTCCATATGTAAGGGGGAGAGTAGCATATCCGTCTTATGGGGACTATTACAGAACCACTAAAAATCTTACTTCGAACAACATTTTAAAAAGCAGTGTTAAATTTAACAAAATATAAAATAATAATTTACAAAACTGCACATAATAATCTGAATTTTCTTTTAAAATGTGTATCTATGAAAGAATGGCAAGATATTACAAAATGTTAAAGGTGGTGATCTTTGGATTGGTGGGATTGTGGGTAATTTTAATTTTATATTTTCCTGCATTTCTCAAAGTTTTAAAAATAAAGATGGATGGCATCTGCAGTTTTTAAAAGCTATTAATTTTCTAAAGGAAAACACCAAGCAAGCATCAACACTTAGACAGGGTTTCCTCCACTCCTGCCCCTTTCTGAATCCCTTCCTTGGACTGGATGACATTTTCTCTCCAGCACCCCTGATTACCTGATTCCTGAAGAAAAACAGAGCAGCTGAGATATTTTCCTTTTGCTTCTCTTTTGAATTGCTAAGAGTCTGCTTTGCAAGGCTTCTAAGGCCGCACTGAAGCCTGATGGCGCTGAAATCCTTGGAGGTAAAAATCACCACCCAACAGTGTACAGATAAACAACCTCTTGCTGGATGTGTGTCCACATCAGAGTGACGCACAGAATTCCCGCTGGAGCCTGACTCACAGCCAGGTGGGGGTGGGGCTGGGCAATTCTCCAGTGCTGATGTCAAATCCTATCAGCGAGAGCAACCAGCTCTCTCAGCTTTCCAGTCTCCAACCCCCTGCTCCCTGTTCCCTCAGGGTACCTGGGGAAAATGCACAGTGGCTGATGGGGATAGAAAAAAGCCTGTGGTTGAAGGCAGCCATGAATTAGGAAGCAACAACATCCAAAGAAGCCACTGCTCATTTCCATTGAACAGCTGAATGGGATCAAAATACTGATGAGCCAAACCCAGGGAGTCTGACCCAGAGAAGTTTCCCAGCTGGCTGGTGTCAGCAGTTCCTGCAATTATTATGGAAACCCAGTGACCCAATTTCCTCTTTTTCATTCCAGAGAAAAGCAAAGGTTTAACTTTAACATTCAAAGCCTATGGACTCAGGTAGGAAACAGGTTTTTTAAATGGGATAGCAAACCCCAATGTCTAATGAAAAATAATAGTAAACTGAAAGTTATTGCTCTTGCCACAAATATTGGGGCTACAGAGAAAGGTTTGGAGCCTGGACACCTGGTCCCCCCACCCCCTGCAGGGTCAAATGAATAATACCCTCTGGCGGTCAAAGAGAGCAGCGCTGGTTTCCAGCAGGTCACGTTCTGTGGTCACATGGCTACTTCACAGCACTCTCATGACTCCTAGAAAGCCCCCATGATCTTCCTCTAGACTACAGAAGGGTTTCCTAAGGTCAGATGACATGCTGAGAAATCCTGCCCACCTCTCTCATCACCCTGAGCACCTAACTATGAATTTGGCCCCAGCTGAATATTTATCTGTCCGTCCCAGTTCATGACACACACAACTTAACTGGATGGTTCCCCCCAATAGTGGGAGGTGACCTCAGCCAGAGCTGGGGCCTGAGTCCCAGGGAGGACCCAAAGTACTGCCCCACCCTTCCAGGTACCCTTGCAAGGGCCTCCTGAACCCTGGCCCAGGCTCTAGATTAACCTCCACTGGCTCTTTTCTTTCTCAGAAATGCCTGGGGAAATTTTCATTTCCTGCCTGGGAAAAGGGCAATTTGAAGGAAAGTGGCAGAGGGAGCCCCTTGCACACCAGCCTCAACTAGACCCAGAAAGGTATTTTTTGTTTGTTTTGTTTTAGTGAGAAGCAGCAAGCCAGTGGTCAAACACAGTCTCTTTGGAGACTGACAGAGTTACCTACTTGTACTTATGTGATTTCAACCATATACTCACTGGCTGTGTGGCCTAGGATGATTTAATTTGACAGGTGTTTTCTGTGAAAAGCAGAATAGGGATACATTGCAAGATGATTGTGAAGACTAATGTGTAAAGTGTCTGGAGCACAGTGGGTATTCAATAAATTGAAGTTATAGTGAAGATGAAACAAAGGGGACAATGAGGGAGGATTATGGAAGCCTATTTATGTCCCTCTTGGAAAGTCAGGAATATGCTAAGCCACCAGATACATGAACTAGCTACAAAGGCCAGGCCCTAGGGAGAGATCCTATTTCCATCCAGTCCAAGGCCCCTGCACTCTGGCAATGTGAACACTGTCTAAGGAAAGGACACTTCAATAGATGATGTTAAAGTGGGCAAGGACTTTAAAGGCCACATAGTCAGCACCCTATTTTACGGTTAAGGAAACTGAAGTCCAGAGGGGCAGAAGAAATCAAGTTAAAGTTCTATGTCCATAACCAAAAGTCACAGTATTTTTCCCCCCTTTTTTGCAGTGCTGTGCCTCAAACCCAGACAAAAGCCACAGTTAAAAGCAGGTCTCCAAATTGCCCATGGAGGAGCCCTCATCTGCCCACTCAGCCCTGTGAAGCTCACGCACATAATGACTGGGGGAAGGGGGGCTGGTCAGGTAGCCATACTGCACACCATATGGTCTCTCTGGGAGCATATTCATATTTACAAGGCCTGTGTCTTCGCTATGGGCAGAGATGTGTCCCCTAATCCTTCACTCTTAGATCATGCCACCTTAAAGCTCTCAGTAAAGTCCCTCCTGTTCCCTACACCCAACTCTAGCCCCCAGACCCTGTCTGTTCTCCCTCAGCTGCAGTCTGTGTGGCCAGGTGAGGCCATAGAGGAGAAATGGCACTGCTTCTCTGGGCCAATTCAAAAGACCCAGAAAGGGAAAGTGTCCTTTAGTAAGACTGGTAAGAATAATAAGGACATATTCAAATATTCTTCACACACATCAAGTCTAGTTTTCCAAGTAGTGTTAAGGCAGTTTCCTGTTACTATAACAAATATCTGAGATAATCAGCTTATAAAAAGAAATATAATACAGCATGGAAGGAGCAGGTGGTAGAGCAAAACCATTCACCTACTGGCAGCAAAGTAAAAAGACCCAAGAAGGAGCTGGGTCCTACAATTCCTTTCAAGGGCACACTCTCAATGACTTGTAGACCTCCCACTAGCCCCACCTCTTACTAAAGTTTCTATCTCCTCCCAAAAGTGCCATTCTCAGAACAAGTGTTAAGACATGGGGAACATATAGCTCCAAACGACAGCATTAGCATACATAAAGAAGGGAAAATTATTAAGACATTATAACATTAATAGAAAAAAACAGGAGCCAAGCAAGGTGGTATACGCCTATAATCCCAGTAATGTGGGAGGCTGAGGCAGGAGAACCATAAGTTCAACAGCCTGGGCAATTTAGCAAGACATCATCCCAAGATAATAAGTAAAAAAGGCCAGAGTTGTACTCAGAGGTAGAGTAGTACCCCTGAGTTCAATCCCAGTACCAAGAAAAAAAAAAAAAAAAAAAACAGGATACAAAACTTCATTTTACACTTTCTATCTCTACTGTTTTAATAAGACAAATATATACATATGCACCTGGAGTAGAGCACTGGAAGGAAATGCATGCTGAGAGTAGTTATCTCTGGGCTGATGGCTAGGAGATGACAAAACAAAAACTTACTGAATTTTTTTTTTTTAGAATGAAAATGTATTATTTTTATTTTTTTTAAAAAATTCAGGAAGTTTCTAGCTATGGTTCAACAGAAAGGTGAGTACCCTTTACGTTTTTTTTTTTCCCCTGCTCTAGAATTCTAGCAAAGATGAGTAATCATTCTCCCAGTCAATAAAGGGGATACAAAAAATGATCTTTCTTGCTGATGTTTACTCTTTCCTGAGGATTGACATGAAATTATCCTTTTCCCCAAACCCTTGCATGGTGGTGATACCATCTTCAAGCCTGGAGTACAACATTATACAAGGTATACAGGATCCAGACTGGGGAGGAGAGGGCCTCCTGGGCCAGCCCACCTCTGGGCCCCAATACCCCTCCCCCAGGAGCTACAGCTAGGAAACAGGTGGAAACACTTGCAGAAACATTTGTTGCCTTGTCAGTCCCCAACAAAAGTCTCTCAAACTTAAAGCAACAGTTAAACACACACACATGACTTACACACATAGCCTTGGTTTCTTAAAAAAAAAAAAAAAATTTTAATTTATTTATTTTTACTGGCTTCTCAGTAAATGGGTAATGGAGATCCCACAGAGACCTCCTGGGCAGTAGCACAGAGACAGAGTGGGTCTTGAATGTGGGAAGATGTCTGTGCAAAAAAGATAAAGACAAGATGGGCAATTATGTTCAAATCCTGGTGCTCATAGGCACTCAAGTCTCGAGCTGCTTAACTCTCCAAACCTCAGCTTCCCCTTCTGTAAAAGAGCAATAATAACAACTACTTAAGTGTTACTGAAGTTCTTAAGATAACCAATAACTATAGCACAAAGTGGTTTTTTAATCGTATATGACCAACTCTTAAAACAAGATATGTTGTCATCCTTAACACCAATAACAAAGAGAAGCCAAGGAAGGTAAGTCTCTCATGTGGCAAATCATGCGCAGTGGAGCTGACAGCAACAGGAGAGGGGATGAGGAAAGGAGTAACAGGCATGATCCTCTGCTCCTGCCATCAGGCACAGTCAACAGCAGCCTCAGGAACCAGGCATTCATTTCCCACATGCTAACATGTTGTACTGTAGACCTTATATACCGGCACCAAAGGTTACAGTTTTTCTCCAAATCTGAAACAGCATATCTGAAACAGCATCCATTGCACCCTGCAACAACAGTCTTCACAGATACACAACCCTAACCCCTGTCTTGGAGATCAAATACATCAATTTGGATGGCCAGCTCTCAGTTGAAATGAAGAAAGGAGGACCTTTCACCAACCAGGCTCAGAAAACAAATCAGCTGATTTAGTTTCTCAGGTTCCCACATGGCCACCTGCACAGAAAGGGGAACCTGAGGCTCACACACCTGCAGCAGCTTATCCAGAGTCTTTTATGAAAGTTTTGGCTGAAGCTTTGAGGGCTCAGGTGTCTACAGAATGGACTATGTGGTCATCAGGGGCATCCGTATTAGAAAAGTGGAGTCTGTTCTGATCAAAATTATTCTGGGGACAGTCTTGGCTTCCCAGGCTGTCTATTTTGAGTTAAAATTGACTTGCAATTGTTCTGTATGGAATACTTTCAGTTCCTCCATCTGTAAAAAGTAATGCATTACTTCACTAACAGTTCATATCTGTAAGAGGGAATTCTTAAGCCATAGCTGAACCTTTCATCTAGCTAGCAAAAAGCTGAGGTTTGGGGAGCAGAAGTACAGGCCAAGACACCAGGTTCTAAACTTGGCTGTGCTATATCCTACCTGGGCGACCTTGGGCAAAGTCACTTAGCTCTGTGGACTCAGCTTCTTCATCGGTAAAATTCGGAGTGGGGATAAGCTTCTGTTTTCGGATTCCTCCAGCTCAAAGGCTTGCTTCTGGGCGTCTCCCCACCGCTATAAATGCCTGATAAAACAGCCAAACACCGCTAGTAACCAAGGCCATCTTCAAGCCCTGCGCCCTGCTCCTCATCCACTGGGGAAGACCCCCTCTACTCCTCTCCGCAAAGCAGTGACCGAATGGACTAGGCGCAAGCGAGGTCCCAGGCACGGGGGAAGAAGAAAATGCCTGACCGAGACCCACGTGCGCTGCCCCTTTAAGCACTGTGGCCCTTTAACAAATTGCACCGCGCCCACCCCCAGCGGGGGTTCTGGCGGCCGGAGGGTGCGGGTAGCGGGCTCAGAGAGCGCCCGGACGAAGCCAGAGGCCTCGGTCGTCGCCGCGCTCTTTCCACGCCCCAGTTCCGGGTTGGCCCCTCACCGCCGCTTCCCTGGCGCCCTCCCTTTCGCCCCCGCGCTGGCCGCAGGGGCCGCGAGCTCGGTGCTTCAGGGGCCTCGGCCCTGGAGCAAGGGAAGGGGCCGCGACCGCCGTGACTGGCGCACGTGGAGGACAGGGCCGGGCCTTCAAGTCCCAGGTCCACCCCCGGCCCCCAGCGCCGCGGGCTCGAGCCTTGGGCCGCGCGCCCCCAGCCCCGCCCGCTCTCTCACCTGCTCCGCCGCTGCGCCCTAGAAGAGTTTACGCCGCTGGCGGAGGGCCCGGCTGGCCCCGGCACTGGCGCAGGCCCCGCCCATAGCCCAGGGCCCGCCCCACTCGCGGCCCCGCCCACGCCCCCCCGCTCGTGGCCCCGCCCACGTCCCCGCCCCGTGGGCGACGCCAATTTCTCTCATCCTGTTGGGTCGCTTCGGGATTCCCTTAAACGGAAGGGTTCGTCAGCGCTGTCCGCTGCGCGGACGACAGCATCAACCTGACACTAGAACTGAGCAATGGCCTTGCTTTTGGTAGGGGCCTGTCAGTACCACGAGGCAGGAGGGCATTGACTTCGTGCATGCTCTTCTTGTAGTATTAGATTTCTGTGCATCCTAAACCTTCCGATTTTACTCACTTGAAGAGAGCATCAGGGGCCTGATTTGAGGTACATCATGAAAATTTTCCTGATCTGTTCCCTAGAGCACTTACTTCAGAGCCACCAGGAACTCTGGATTTAATTGAACAGAGACAAAATTGCTACCAGACCTGAAACAGGCCTAGGAGGACATGATTCCAGGATTTAGAGTCCGTGGGGTGAAGATGAGATTGTCAATAATTTAGCATTGTCTCAGGTGTCCCAGCACCATTTGTACAAGAGACTGTCCTTTTTCCATTGAACAGTGGCTTTACTTTTATTTTACTTAAAAGTATGTATGGTGAAGTTCACATAACAAAATTAGCCATTTTAAAGTGTACAATTTGGTAGTGTTTAGTACGTGTGCAATGTCCTACAACCACTGGCTTTATCTAGTTCCAAAACATTTTCATTGAGAAGTTTTTTCCAGACCCCTCCTCCCCCAGATCACTTAACTACCAATCTCCTTCTGTCTCTATTGATTTAACTATTTAGGGTATTTCATATAAATGGAAATATAGACTATCCCTTTGCGTCTGGCTTCTTACTCTTAGCATATTTTCAAGGTTTATCCACGTTGAAGTATGAGTCAACAGTTCATTTCTTTTTATCTCTGAATAATATTTCAGTGTATGTATATACCACAATTTGTTTATCCATTCATCCACTGAAGAGCATTTGGGCTGTTTTCCCCTTTTGGCTATAGTGAATAATGTTGCCGTGAACATGCATGTAAATATATTTGAGTACCTGTTTTCATTTTCTAGGGGTACATATATAGAATTTGAATTGCCAGATCACATGGTGATTCAATGTTTCCCTTTTGGGGCCATCAAACTGTTTCCACAGGAACTGACCTATTTTACATTCCCATAAGCAATGTAAGAGGGTTCCAATTTCTCCAAATTCTCACCAAAACTTATTTTCTACTTTTATTATTATAGTCATCCTAGTGGGTATGGAGAGGTATCTCATTCTGGTTTTGGTTTCTGTCTTCAAATAACTAATCATGTTAAACATCTTTTCCTGTGCTGGCCAATCATTCTTCCTAGAATATAAAAAGTCTATTAAAATAATAGAAATGTCTATTAAAGTCCTTTGTCCATTTTTTAATTGGATTGTCTTTTTGTTGTTGAATTGTAATTTCTTTATGTATTCTGGATATTAGGCCCAATATGTTTTGCAAATATTTTCTCTTATTCTATAGGTTATCTTTTCACTTTGATGCCCTTTGACGCACACAAGATTTTACTTTTGATAAAGTCCAGGGTATATATATTTTCTTTTGTTACTTGCACATTCAGTGTTCTAAGATACCATTGTCAAATCTAAGGTCATGTAAACTTACTGTTTTCTTTTTAAAAGTTTTAGCACTTAATTTAGGTTGTTAATCCATTTTAAGTTAATTCTTGTACATGATATGAGGTCAGGGCCCAACTTCATTCTTTTGCATGTGGATACTCAGGTGTCCCAGCACCATTTGTACAAGAGATTGTCCTTCTTCCATTGAATAGTCTTGACTGCTTTCTAGAAATCTAATGGCCATAGATATATGGGGGGGGGGGGGGGGCTGTTCAAATGTAAATTAACCCAAGATGGAAAGGAACAGCATTTTGGCAGACAAAGTAATGATCCAAATAGTGATCTTTGATAAATTATAAAAATGATTTTCTATTTCTTTTTGAACAATTTGTGTGTTTCTATAAATCTGTTCATTTCATCTACGTCTTCTAATTTGTAAGTGTACAGTTGTTCATAGTATTTTCTTATAAACTTGTTTTTCCTGCAAGTTCTACAATGATGTTCCTACTCTTATTTATGATTTTACTATTTGCATATTCTTTCTTTTTATTAGTCTAGCTAAAGATTTGTCAATTTTGCCCATCTTTTCAATTTTTTTATTTCAACTATTGCATTGTTCAGCTCCAAATTTCCTGTTTTATTTCTTTTTTTTTTAAGAGAATTTTTTAATATTTATTTATTTATTTATATTTTTTTAGTTTTCGGTGGACACAACATCTTTGTTTGTATGTGGTGCTGAGGATCGAACCCGGGCCGCACGCATGCCAGCCGAGCGCGCTACCGCTTGAGCCACATCTCCAGCCCCTGTTTTATTTCTTTTTATAATTTCTCTATCTCTGTTGATATTCTCCATTTATACATTTGTTTTTCTCCTTTGTTTATGGTTTCCTTCATCTAGTTAATTATATTTAAGATAGTACATTTAAAGTCTTTAGCAAGTCTAATGCCTAGGTTTTTTTAGGGAAGATTTCAGTTGATTTCTTTTTTTCTGTGGATTGGTCATACTTTTCTTTTTCTTCGTATGCCTTCTAATTGCTCTTCTTGAAAACTGGATATTTAAAATATTATAATGTGGTAACTCCGGAAATTGGATTATTTCCCCCTTTGCAAGATTTACTATGATCAAGGGCTATAGTCATTGGTTTGTTTAGTGACATTTCTATACTATTTTTGTAGACTGTCTTCCTTAGCATGTATAGACTCTAAAGTCTCTGCTCCAATATCTCAATGGTCAGCCACTGAGTTGACACAGATTTTCTCAACACCTGGACCAAAAACAAAACAAAACTTTCCTGGTATTTGCAGGTTGGCTCATTTAATGCTTATTCAATACACAGCTATCCATCTGCCTTAGACTTTACCTCCTGCTTGCGTAGAACACAAAGATCAGCCAAAGGTACAAATCTAGGGTCCTCTCAGTGTCTGGTCCTGGGAATGTGTGTTCCTGTTTGGATTTCCCAGTATATGATATAGGCCTCCGAAGCCCTAATTCTCCCAAACATCTTCCTCCTCATCTTCTTCCATTCAGACTTTTTGGTCTGTCTGCTGCTTGGCCCATCTGCTGTCCCTTGCCTCAGACTACTCTGGGTAGTGTACGTCTTTAAAATATTTTAAAAGATGGTACCTATGGGGCTGGGGAGGTGGCTCAAGCGGTAGCGCGCTCGCCTGGCATGCGTGTGGCCTGGGTTCGATCCTCAGCACCACATACAAACAA